GAGGGTGAACCAACAGCAAAAGGAAGACCTTTCTCTCTGTCTCTCTCTCTCACTGTCCACTCTGCCTGTCAAATAAAAAAAAGGAGGAGGGGGGACAGTCGCTGGCCTGCAGCCGAGTGGTGTGAGTGATGTCAGCTGTCTGAGCCACCCACAGCCTGGAAACCACAGGTGGGGATGTTAAGTCTGGGAGAGAACTTAAGATGGAGATAGTGCCATTGATGGTACTTGAAAATACCTCCTCTCCTGGAAAACGATGGTATTGAAGGAGAGAACGGTCAACCTTGGTGTCATGAGCTCCCATGGAGCCTGGGGAGCAGCAGCCAGCAGCAGGACTGGGGACTGTTTTTCCAACCCAGGTCACATTTGAAATGTTATCTTCTCTCCGAAGCTCCACCTGACTCCTCCTGGCCTCTGGAGGCATCTGCGCACCCCTCCCCACTATGTCTTATCACGAGAGAGGGCACTTAGGAGCTTGCTTCACCAGCACACTGACCTCCTAGAAGACAGTTACTTATCTTCTGTATCACTGAACTCCAGGGAAGTACAGTGTCCAGCACATAGTAGGGGCCCAACAAATCTTCCTCAAATGCATTGCCATGCCATCAGATATCTCATACTCACGAAGCCAAAGGATCAGAGGACCAACACTGTCACTAAAGCTATTTTAGCTCCAAACCATGGGACACATGGCCCTTCTTTAGATGACAGTAAATATACAGCAGTACTTCAGAAAGTTCATGGGAAGTGAAATTAAATAAATTTATTTTGGGCGCCAGCATTGTGGCATAGTGGGCTAAACTGCCACTTGCCATGCCCATATCCAAGTGCCTATTTGAGTCCTATCTGCTTTGCTTCCAATCCAACTTCCTGCTACTGAGCTTAGGAAGGCAGTGTAAAATGGCCCTGGTGCTTGGGCCCCTGCCATCCACATGGGAGACTGGGGTGGAGTCCCTGCCTCCTGGCTTCAGCCTGGCCCAGACCTGCCTATTGCAGGCATGTGGGGAGTGAACCAGCAGGTGGACAATATCTTTTTCTGTCTCTTCCTCTCTATCACTGTGCCTTGCAAATAAATAAATATTTTTCAAAAGTGCTATTTTTGCTGCAAGGATGTTTGAAACCCGTGCATAGGTGTTTCATACTACTCCTTTCCCATAACGTCTTTGAAGACCCCTGTGAAGGACAATGAGCAGCCAGTTTGTCCACTGTGATGAAGTTTTTCATGTATTTCGGTTTGTGAAGTCCCACGCTATAAATCATTGACCTCGGAAACGAAAGCTCCATAAATAAATTGGTTCCAGTGGGCAAGTCATACAACGTATGGTATTTCCCAGTCAAAAACATAATTCTAATGAGCCATCCTGGTGATGAATGGAGCTATCTTGTAACTTTGTCCTTAATGTGATGAGTGGTGGCACTTGGAGGCTCACTGTCCTGTTCTCATGTTAGAAGCCAAATCTTTACTTGTGTCAAGCCAGGGACAGCTTTACAATGTTTTATTGAACAACAGGTTAAGCCCGAGGTCATGCTTTGGATGGCTGTGATTGAGTGCTACAAAGAGAAAGGAATTTGTAGGCTTCCTGTTGGAAAACGAAAGGCAGATCAGCATGTTTGGTGGTTTCTCATTGATCCTTTGCCTTTTCCTTCCCAAGGCATCTCAGTGGTTTTCTCTTGAGCTGCTTCGTGACATCCGTAGCAAGCCTGAGATGACAAAGTGCTTTCTCTTGAAGATAATCTGAATTTTGGAGAATGGACAATTTTATCTGTTTACATTTAAGATATAAAAATAGAGTACTTAGATAGACTCCTTAAGGGCCAAATTCAGAAAACTCTTAAAAATAGGTTGAACCTATGTGAGTTCTTAACAGATGATACTTACCCACCTCCCACCATGCCCCAGAGGACCTGGGGCCATTCTCTTAGTGCCTTATTCTTTAGGCAGATGGGAAACAGGTCATTCCCTTGTACATTCCCCTTCCAAATCTCAACTGCCAATTTTATTTTCTGTCTCTTTCTATCACTGTGCCTTGAAAATAAATATTTTTAAAGTGTTATTTTGCTGCAAGGATTCGAAAGTATTTGAAAGGCAAGGATGCAGATATTCCCCTTCTTCTGGTTCATTTCCCAAATGCCTGCTAAAATCTGGAGCTGGATCCAGGAGCCCAGGACCACTCCAGGTCTCCCAGGTAAGGTGGTGTGGACCCAACTACTTGAGCCATCATTGCTGCCTCACAGGATGAGCATAGGCAGAGAGAGCTGGGAGTCAAACCCAGGCACTGGAACATGGGATGTGGGCATCCCAAGTATTGTCTCAACCACTGAGCCAAAGTCTCGCCCCAGCTGCTAATTTTGATTTACCTAAAGTGTAGCTTTTCCTGTATCTGCAAGATCAGTAGACTCCATGTCTGCTAATTCACTCACGTGGCCATCCTAGCTGACCACACAAGGGCTGGTACTAAATCAACCAGGATGGTCTACAGTCATCAGTCACGTGGTGGCCAGAGTGTAAAGGGAGAATTGGGGATTGAGCACCTGTACTGAGTACATCAAATCCCAGCCCCAGGATTATCGGGATTCCTGCCTTGACTTCAGATAAGGAATCGGAGGCCAGATTGAGAGGACCTGAGTTGTTCAAGTTCCCACAGCTGGTTAAAGACAAACAGGCTGGGTCTCCTAAAGAGCAGGTCAGTCTATTTCCCTTCCTCGGAGGAAACTAGACTCTAAGCATAAATCAAGGGACAGTCATATCATTAGTAGTAAGCATTTCTAATGAAAATGCTAGAAGGACAATTTCAGTAATTAGGTGATCTAAAGCGGTGATCTTCAACCCTTAGAATGCATTAGGATCACTCATAGGAGAGTATTATGGCACAGCAGGTTAAGCCACTGCTTGGGATGCCCACATCCCGTATTAGAGTGTATGAGATAGACACCTGCCTCCGCTTCCAATCCAGCTCCCTGCTACTATGCAAAGTAGTATAGAGGCAAAGGATGATGCCTCAAGTGTTTGGGTCCCTACTACCTATGTGGGAGACCAGATGGAGTTCCTGGCTCCTGGCTTCATTCAGCCTAGCCCACTCCTGGCTGTTGTGAGCATTTGGGAAGTAAACCAGCGAATGGAAGATCTCTCTCCTTGTCCGCTTGCAAATAAAAAAAGAAAAGGAAAGTGATCACTGGAGAGCTTGTTGGAACATGGACGAGCCTACCTTGGACTTATCAGGTCAGGGATGGGAGCTGTGAGCTTACTCTTCTAAGGAGTTTCCAAAGGATACTGATGCTAGTGCTAGTCTAGGAACGACCTTGAGAGTCCCTGGTCTGTGGCAAGTGCATGCTGTTTCCTGCCGTTCCTCACGGGCCACCTGTGGGTGTACTGTCTCCCAGGTGAGCTCCGTGGGTGGTGCCCAGCAGGAAGTCAGCAGTGAGGTTTGCTAGTGGATTTCCCATTGGAAGTTCATCCTATTCTAGCACAGGGATGAAGAGATCCGGCTGGAGTCAGATGGCCTGCGTGCTCTGCTCTGCTCTAAAATCCACTTAATCTTGAGCAAGTCTCTCATCTGAGTTTGTTTTCTCGTCTGTGAAACGGGGATCCTATCTCCCAACTCGTCACTGGAGAAGGATTAAATCAGAGAAAATGTATGAAGAATTTAGTGAATAACAATCACACATGGTATGTCGATCAGAGACCAGACTGGGGAAAATTACTTACAAGGGAAATGAATACAGAGAACACATTACCTGATGAACGGGCTCAGAAAGCAAACAGGGCAGTGAGAGGTCAGTGGCCCAGCAACAGCAGAAATCTGCAGCTCCCATTGGGTGAGAGCACATGTGGAAAGAGGCGGAGCTTCAAGGTCTTCTACTGAGACCTGGAGTACACCGGCAGCTCTGACCTGGGAGGGAGGTTCTACCTGGCAGGAGTGGGAGCCATGGAAAAGACTCACGACCCAGAAGCCAGAGGGCAGAATTCCCAGGAAATGAATGAGTCAGTCTCTGCGATTCCACAGAGCAGGGCAAAGCCAGGAAGTGGATCTGAGCTTCTGCCACACCATTCGTCATGGTTGCCATGGTAGTCGTTATGGGAGCGCCTCTCACCTCCACCACTAGGCCGTTTCTCTCACCTGGGATGCTATCTCCACCTGTAAGGCGAGCCCTCTATGCTGCAAGGCGGTATACATCACAAATTCTACTGGCAATCAAAACGAGCGACAGTCATCACAGCGAGACTTGGTTGTGTATCTGGGCTGGTAATACTGTGGGAACACCTGCATTTAGTGCCGTTTAGCCCCATCTGCAGCCCCTGTCACACCGCTCTACCCTGCCCTGCACTGTATGTAGGCCATACAACAGCCAGATATGTAGGGACACAGCCAGATACTCCAACAAGTCCTGGTTACTACAGGATGACGGTCGCGTTTTGGGGGTGGATGGTGGAGGAATTGAGGATCGTGGGCATTCTTGCTGTCTTTTAGCAAAATGCCTGGAAATGTCACCTAAAGGTCTTTCATTTCATTGTAACGGACGCATTGAAATTACAGAAACAACGGGCCCGGTCGTTCACGTGACCACCCCATGTCCTTGTTTGTTACACACAGGAGAGAATGTGATAAGGAAATGGAAGGGGGTGGGTGGGGGTCAACCGAGAGGGCAGCCACACACACTTGGAAACCCAAAGAGCAAGCCAGCCGCTTCAGACACAGTTCTTGGGTGAACCACTGAAGTTTCAAAACAACCTTTATTCTGTTTGAAGACCTAATACAATGCATTAAAGCAACTTAAAACAACAAGACATAGCTCCATTGAATTTCTATAACTTGAACAAAATGTCAAGGAGGCACACTCCCCCCGCCCCCCACCCCGGTTGCCTTGTAAAGGCAAAATGACAACTGACCATCATATCCTCCCTCTCGTCAAAAGACCAACTTTATTTTAACAACATCATAGAAACAGATTTGTAAAAACATTGAACAGGTTGTAGCTTTAAAAAATACACACGTATAAATGAGTTTTATTTTTTTTTATTTTTTATTTTTTTAATAGCAGCATCCTGGGCAGCTAATGCTATCTCATGGTGACAAGTTTAAGATCAAGTTGGAGAGTCTTTCCAATTGACCCAATTCTATTCTCTCCCCACCTGTACTAGTATTTTATATAACAGATTTGTAAAAAATAGAATTTGGCATTTTGGAACTTTGTCCCATGTGAGGCATTGTGCTTAAAAACTGCCCCTTTCTCAAACGACCCTAAACTCAATACCAGGGTCTGCTTTCCAACTCACTTGGATACCATGCATAGCAAAAGCAGTTGCTAAAACCAGCAGACTTTTTCTCCCAATAAGGAACATCAGTAGGACTTCCCAAACACACCACTAGCTCATAACCAGCTATATGACAAAGCAATCGGTTCCCCACAGTGACAGCTCACATAAACACAAACTGACTCGATAGATACACCGAAAATGAGAATCTCCAAGATAAACGGGATCATCCAGACCAACTCCCTAAAGGAGTCGCTTCAAAACACAGGAAAAAGTCAAAAATTATGAACTTCTCACTTCACTTGCAAGCAATTTTCACCTCGGTAAGACAGAACAAAGCAACCTCAAAGGGAGTAAAGCGACCCAGACAGATACACAGGAGCGGTACTGAACACTTGCTTGTTATGTACTTGAACTCGACGACTGTGGAACTGTTTGTGCGGAGAGGTGTACTGCACACACCGGAAACACAGTCCATGCACATATACATATATACATATATCCAGGGCTGTGAAGTTGCCGAATGTCACACACACGCTTCCTGCCTTTGCACGTGGTTATGGTTTCTCTCGAGTGTCCTCGGAGGTCCTCGGGCTCCCACCTGCAGCCCTACGGCAGCCTCTCTGCAGCTTAGCTCCGGTTCTGCCTCTAGGAAGCGACATGGGTGGGAGAGACTGATGCACAGATAAAAATCTCCTATCAGGAGTGCCTCTGCTGTATGCAACTGTAGTCGTGAGCCACTCGGAGAAGGTTCTTAGGAGATGACTGACGGATGGAACCCAGAGCCCTGCTGGCCTGACGCTTCCAAGCACAAATGTGCTGGGCCTGCTCTACTGCCATCGAGAAGGCATTGGGCAGGGCGGGGCGGGGTCTCACTGCTCTCTGCTCCCGCCTGCAGCTCCAGGGAACGTCTATTGCACTTCTGCTTGTGAGATGCAAAAATAAGGCAACTGCCTAATACTATGTCATCTTGCGAAGAGTGTTGAAGCAAAACACATGAACAAAACTGTAGCTTTAAAGGAAACCTTTGATCTCAGACCTTCTATCTTACTAATAGTAAATGAAAATTATATTTACTAGCATACATATTGTGCTACACCAATCCCCCCCCAGGAAAAAAAAAAAAGACCCCAACCTACCTGATAAACTAGTAACTAGTGAGCTCTTAGACTTGGGTGTGACGTGGAACAGCATCATCACCCGAAGTTTCAAAGCTTCGACACTCACAAAACGAACGCCAGGGAAATCATCAATTGTCTATGACCGGAGGGAGGTCAGTAATGGTCGAGTCGAGGGCCGACAGTCTGGCTGTGAGACCGAGTTCTACTCTTGAGTAGGAGTAGCTTCAGGTACAGAGGAAAAATAATACATTCTATAGACAGTTAACTCAGCTGCTTCGACCTTTTTTTCCCCAAAGTTTTTTTTTTAAAGGAACAACATTAAAAAAAAAAAACAAAACACCATCGTTTCTCGGCCTTTTGGCTGAGATCAAGTGTGTAAGAAACAAAACGCCCTCACCTTAGTATCTGAAAGGGAAGGAAGCTGTGGTTGGCTCGAACAGGGAGAAGGGGAAGCTGAAATAGCAAGATTCCATTTTAAACTACCAGGACAGGAGCCATGGTTGTCATTTGCCTTCCTTCCTCCCAACACCCGACCAATTCCTACTCAAAATAACAGCTTTTGCATATGTAAATCAGGGAGAGAGACCTCTCTCTCTCACCCTAAATTGGCAAGATTATGCTAAGAACCCCGGACTCTGCCCCACAGTGAAGTGTGTAACACACACGATGACTTGGATGAACGAGAGGGTCCACCATTTGGATTTCTGCAATGGCCATGACTTTAATGAGCTCCAGGAGCCTGCAGCAATGAGTACGCTCTTGCCTGTTTATGTTCCAAATCGAATGGAAAGCTAAGAACAAACATCCCACTAAAAGTAATTTTTTTCAGGTCATGCTTTTTCTAAAATGAATGTTTGATGGTCATAATGAATAGTCTCATGTTAAGAAAAAATTACATTTTCTAAAGGCAGAAATTTCTTTGAACTGACGTCCTCAACAAAGGTGAGCACTGTTCCAGGAACCCCGAAACAGATTCCCGGCACTTCCTGTGTGAGAACTGAAACACCTGACCAGCTGCACTGTTAAGAGTTACAGTAGGTTGAGAATTGCCATTCACTGATAACAGCTAACGCATCCGCATCCGCTTGGGAAAAGACTGAAGGGCAGGCAACTTTCCCTTGAGTCTTCTCTGTTTTCACGAGAAAGTGCATACCATCCCCCCTGCCTCCCACCACCCTGCCTGTTACGCCCCCTCCCCAGGTTCCAGAAGTTCACAATTCATTATGAAACAAACATTGCTAGGTACCGTATTTTAAGAGTCTTAAAACAACATCGTTGGACTCTGCAATACTTTGTCATATTTATATAATCTTTTTCTTTTTCTTTTATTTAATAAAGCAGCTTTGAAGCTTATCAGGCACTGCCCAACAAAACATTTAGTCCAAAAAAAAATCTGTTCGGAACTTTTTTAACCTCAGGCTAACAGCCAAGTACTCTGTACAAGGAAAACTGTAAAATAGTTCATAGTTTTAATTCTGAAGCCATTTTTTAAAACTGGCATCCTGTACATTTCTTAAAAAAAAAAAAGGTAACAAAATGAATATTAACAAAAATCAGGGATGACAATATTTTCAAGCAATGAAACTTGGGGGTGGGGAAGCTTATTCTGAAGGTACATTTAAAACAGACGACGACTTAATGAAACTTAAAGAATTGCATAGCGCTGTGAATTTAGCCTTCGGCAAAACAAAACAGAAGCTATTTGGTATTGGTACAAATCCATCTATTTGATAGTTAGTCATCCAATATTATGTACATATTTTATATACTGAATGTCATTTGAAGGTCTCTTTTCCGAGCTCCACTTCTTCTGTGGCTGGGTTCTGTTTGTCTGACGAGCTCAAACGAAACACTTCCCGGCACTCCGAACGTACACGAGCGGACGTTCTCCCAAAGTGTCCCTTGGGAGTGAAGTGCCTTTCTGCTACATATCATTCACTCGTGAGAAAGTGAGAGAACCCACAGTGCCATGCTGAGTCCACCGCGCACAGCAACGCCCAGGCCGAACCAGGCTGGCCCCACGCGTTCTCCGGGCTGGGGCTCGGCGGCCCTGTCCACCCTCGGGTCTCCAGAGTCCCCGCGTGTAGCTGGTAAAGCTTCGGTAAGCATGAACAAGCACCATGGTTAAAGGCCTCTTTGTCCCTGCACGCAGAGATTTTTGCATTTCTTTTTCTCTTTGTGTTGTTGTGGCTTCAAATTAAACAAACAAAAATAAAAAGCACTCCGGATTAGAAACGTATGGTCATCATCCTATAGCCCAAGGCTGCCTGTCTTCCTCTACTACTTCTTTTCTTTTTTTGTGTCAAAGAAAGCTCTAAGTCCCATCTGCAGCCAGATGGCTTCGTTCCCGCAGCTCAATGCTCAGGTCACGCTGGAGAGGAGCCCTTTGCTTCCCAGAGGCCTCGCGGTGTTGCACTGGAGGAGAAGGATCGAGGGTGAGCGCTTCATCGCCTCTGCTGTGCATAGACCGGGTAGGCTAGTGTGACGTTGAGAGAGTCGTTGTGCTGCACGAGCGAGGTGTGTTGGTAATGTAGCACCAGTTCTTTCAGGGAGCTGTACAGGTTATAGGGCTCGGCGAAGCCATAGCCGGTGGCCGTCTTGTTGATGACACAGTGCTTGACCTCGCCGTCCACCCTGCAGGGGAAACAGCACACACTGGTCAGGACTGTTCATGACAGCATCGTCATCGGTGCAGAGCAGCCGCCACGGGTGGGGAGTTGGGGGGTGGGGAGCAGTCTACGGTCACGGTAGCCCCTGCCTGGGAGACCTGGGTAGGGCCCAGCTCCAGGGGGAGCCCGTGTTTTCATCTTGAACATGGTTCAACAGGAAGACGATAGTAATCGATGATGATGTAATGGGGTTGGTTTGGGACGTGAAATGATGGATGTGGCCTGGCATACAGGGAGCACAAACCAAAGAAGCTGCTCCAACCCCGCCGAGTGCTGCCGTGACCCGAGCGCCAGCAGCTGCTTCCTGGCCCTCCCTGAACGGTCCCCATGGCTCTGCCTCCGCACTGCCTGCCTTCTCCCACATTCTCCGTCTTGGGTCAGCGCTTCTTAGAACCTGTCTCTCCTGGAGGACGCTCACCTGGCTGCAGTCGGAGCGTGCGAGATCCAAAACTACTCTCTGAACTATTAGAAAGAAATGGAGAAGTTGCCCTCAGACGGGAGCTTTCCCCACTGGGATCCTGTTCACCTGTTTCTGGGGGCTACATCACCTATGGGCATGCTTTCACCTAACTATCTTAGCCTTGGGACAAAACAAAAGCCCAACGGAAGCAGCAAGAGGAGAAGAGAGATCCCAGACTTTCATTGGAAGACTGAGGCTTAAAATCAATCCTTGAAACAGCAGGGGTGTCTCTATCAGAGCCCGTGAGATCCATTTCCAGCTGGCCATGAAGATAGAGGTCTGTGCTGTTATCCTGGAAGCCCCTCCCCGACCAGAACCTGCCCCCAGAGCTGACCGACGAGAGGGACGCGCGTGGAGATACGTACACCACGGAGCAGGCGTAGCAGCCCTGTTTGCTGCTCTCCCGGACCAGAAAGGTGCCGTCCCGCTTCCCGCGCAGCAGGGTTTCGGCTTTGTTGCGGTTGCTGCTGCCGACGTTCCACGTCTTCTCGTCGTGGTGGGGCAGGTCCTCGTCGTCCTCCACCAGCGAGTATTGGCTAGGCGGGAAGCAGAGCAGGTTGCTGCAGCTGCAGGGAGCCCCGGCCTGGCCCGCTCTGGTCCCTTTCACCCCCGGGTGCTGCCTCGGCCTGCCTCTCTGTCCTCAGTGTTCCACTCCCCCTGGGCAGCTGCCAACCCAACTCCCTGCGACCGGCCAAGTTACGCCATTTCTGTTTGCAAGTCAGCTACAGTCCTCAAGGTAACTGGGCAGGCAGGAAACAATCCCATCTATTCAGTTTGATCAGAAAATGGACTGGGAATGCCACCAGTTTTAAGTAATTCAAATAAAACATAAGCATGAAAATATATGAAAACATGATTTTATTTTCCTGTTCCAAAAATATTTCTGGAATTGTTGAGATGTTCACGTCCTTCACTGTGGACACGCAGGGTCATTTCACAACTTTACGAGCAAAAATAAACACAAGCCCTCCTTAGCTAAACTTTCCTTTTTTAAACTCTGGATGATGGCACTGAATTTATCCAGTTTTCTCCCAGGAGATGCTCCAAGCTTAGTAAGATTCCCCACTTTGTCCTAAAGACAAAAGCGAGCCGTGCGCGTTCCTGAAATGAGAGCAGGCTCTCGCCCTCGCCCCTGTTCAATTCGCTACTTACTCTTCCGTGTTCTCGTTGCCAAGCCACTCGTTCAGCTTCTTCTGCCGGACACCTTTCTGCGTCAGCCACCTGGAAAAGCAGTTCCGAGAGGCAAACATGTGAAGAGGTTGTTCTTCACTTGCGCCGTCTCCCTCCCGCTTCCAGGCTTCTGTTTCAGACACACTTACATCAAGTATTGGTCTCTCGTCTTTCTCAGCTGGATGAGGTCTGGTTTGATGCTGTTCATGCGTTTGTCGATCTCCCGGTACTCGGCCGCCTGCTTCTTCAAGTCCTCCTCCAGGCGTCTCCTGCTGTCGATAATCTCGCTGATTCGAGACTTTAACTTATCATAATTGTGCATAATCCTGCAGGTGAGAGAGAGAGCCATCTGTAAGGACCTGGGGAAACCACGCAGGTTCCCCCAAGTTGATGAGAAGTTTCCCGACAGTATGCCCCTAGCAAAGAATGCTTTTTCTGCTTGCCGCGTTTAGATTATGCAAAGCACAGGACCCAAGATCGTCCGCTGCGAGGGTTATGGCTGTCTGAGCACAAGGCCAAGGGAAGTGCATGTGGCTCACCCACCTTTGTATTTCCTTCTCATTGCCTTCGCGTTTGAACTTTTCTATGTATTCTTTGCTGTACCGCTCTTGGGTTTGGCACTGTTCTTCAAATATTTTTATGGTTTCATTAAATGCTTCAATAGCTGTTCTTTTCATTTGGATTTCCTAGGAGACAATTTTAATAAGACAGCGTTATGTCTTTCCTAGGATGATTTCTTACTGCAAGGAACAAGGACATTTGACCTATATCACGGCCAGCTTTAGGTACAGCTGGCTTGGTGTTTGGCGGGGACTGGTTCTAGGTCTCCCTGGGATACCCAAACCCGAGAATGTTCAAGTCCTTTATGTAAAAGAGCACGGTATTTGCACACAACTCACACCTTCTCTCACATAAAAATCTTGAAATATCTAAGAGGAGGTAAGTACGATGTAAGCAGCGGCTATCCCGTATTGTTTAGAGGATAATAATGAGGAAAAGCAATCTGTGCGTGTTCAAATGGATGTGGGTCTCATGGCTACCGAGCGCCGACTGTACGTTCGTATTTGAATGGGCTTTATGAATTTGAGTCGTTTGAGCCTACTACCACAGAAACGCACATTTCTTTTAGGAACTTATTCAATCTATGGAAAACAGCAGCCTGGTTATTTTCTACAGTTCTCGGCTTTGGAAAAGCCATTCCAGTGGGCGGCATCTATGTGGTCTCCCTCTTGCAGTCGCAGAACAGTGACCCAGAGAGGAGGAAGCCTGCGGGACAGCGCTGCAGTAAATGCAGCCTTTGCTTGACAGGGTGGGGGGTGTGACAGAGACCCCCCCCTTTCAGAGAGCACACTAGTCTGCCGAACGTGCAGTTACTAACGTCCAAGCAGAAATTACGGGCAGTCCACCCAGCATTCGTGGCCGACCCCTTCTAGTAGCACGTAAAGTTAACCTGCTCAGCCACTTAAAGACTTTATTTGAATAAAGATTTAGGGATACTGTGCTAGATGAATCAAATCCTCCTCTATTTCACTCACAAAAACTCAACTTTTTTACCTTTTCTCTGAAGCTGAAGGTATCATGTACCAGGTTCTAATAACGAAGAGCGAACCTTCTAATCTTTCACAGAGAACTCACCTGGGAAGTACGGGTATACTCTTCATATAATCTATCATATTCCCGGCTTTTCTCTTGAAATTGAGTGTTATATTCATGTAACTTTTTCCCTACAGCTTCAATATTATCTTCTTTAACAACCTGATCCTAAAAAGACGGGAGAACAGAGGAAAAAGGAAAAATAAATTCAACCGATAAGGTAGTTAACCAAATAGCAATTGTTTAATAACATAGCCGACATGGAAAAATCTTAAAATTGCTGAAGAAAATCCCAATTTTAAAGTCGCGAGTGTAAAGGCTTTCATAACTCATCTGCTTGAAAATTGAGTAGTAAAAGGACTTTGTCTAAACATCATAACCCATGTAATTAATTGTTTGGATTACCTGTTGGTATTTGGACACTGGATAAAGCAACTTCACATCCAGTTTGGGATTATACTGCGCTAGGGATTCATTCCGGTAGTGGTTTATTAGTTCAACCACAGAGTTGAAGGTTAATGGGTCAGAGAAGCCATATTTCCCATCTCGGTGAAATATTTTGATTAATTTGTTATTTCCTCCTTTCCTGTAAATACAATATAAAAATCACGGTATTGAGATTTGCTTAAAAAAAAAAAGTGTGTGTAACATCACCCATTCTGGCTGCACCCTGACTCACCTTAGTGTGAGAGTATAATCACCATGCATCTTAGTAGATGCGTCTCGTACCAAGAAGGTCCCATCTGCCGTATCTCGAAGTTTCTCGTTCACCTCTTCCCTGAAACAGAAAAAACCCCAAGACCATGCTCACTCAGAGGGCTCGGTGATTATGGGGCCACACAGTTCTTTTTTTTCAGTAGACTTTCTTTGGTGAGCAGTTTTAGATTCACAGCAAAACCAAGTGGAAAGTCCAGGCAGTTCCCATAGCCCTCTGGTCTCACACCCTTGCCTTATGAACTGCATTTACAGAGCTTACTAGTAATCTCTTTACATGGAAATACGATCAATTCCAGCCTCATTATAAACAGGTGCCTGGAGATTTTCTCTTTTAAATGTACCCACTTTTGCTACTGGTGGTAGATTTTAATTTCTGACAAATCACAGAACACTATGATCCCCAAAAGGTTTCTCCAACCCTTGACTACTCCCCCAAAAGCTAAGAAAAAGTCATGGTGTGTTACTGTTTCAGGCAGCAACACTAACTCTGCGAGGCTCCTTTGCACGCCGCCTTTAGATGGCGCCACTTGAGCCTGGCACTTCCCTGACCCCTCAGTCAATCATGAGACGTGGCCAGGCGTGCGTTTCCTGGGGCATCCGGCACCCACACTGCTCTGCACAGCCCAGTGACTTTTCTGGCCATCTTTGGATGAGAACCAACTATGCTTCATGCTTATGTTGGATGACATCCTACAGATGGAACTCGGCGAGCTGGGGCTTTTCTTTCTCTGAACCTCACACCCCCTGGACCGCGGGACCCGGAAGGGTCGGAGAGCCTTACCTTGAGATGTCCCCCCAGTACCATTCTGCGTCCTGCAGGGACATGTTGTTGTTCGTCCCGTTGTTGGCGACAGTAGTGGGTTTTGGTGGTTTGGGGGGCAGTGCTGCCGAGGAAGCAGAAAGACAAAGTTGTCTGCAATCCCGAGTACTGGTGACCATCTCACAGTGCACCCAGCAGTGCTTTGGATCGACACTAGAGTTTCTAAAACATACCCCCATAATTCACAATTTCGGGCAAGGTGGAAGATAGTTTTCTTAAAAACAGAAAAAGCAATGAAACAAAAGGGAAAAAGAAGGGACAGAGACTCTTCGTGCTTAACAAACCGAATACAATGCAGAGTAAGTCCACAGTCCTGGCGTTTTCCACGTCCTGATTTACTTACATCAAAGTTTCCTGCCTGGTCAAACCCATTAAAATAAGAAACTGAACATATGAGCAGCAAGAAGAACAGGAGTTGGCTTTAGCTGCCTCTTATTTAATTACAACAGACGAATTCGGTCTCTGGCCTCCACAAATGCTGTTGCGGGAATAAAAACGCTCATCTTCAGCAGTATGTTTTGAAGAGGAGGAACTGGGTTTCTCTAATCTTAGTATTCCAGGCACTGTTCTGCCAAAAGCCACTTTAAGAAACTCATCTGTGACCTAAATCTCTTTAGTATTTATGTTAATATTCTGTTGGATAAACTGTTGCCCTATGCCAGCCAGGGTGATTAAAAAACCAGGAGAGCCCCCCTTCTCCCCAGCCTCACATCAGTATTCATATAGGAAACAGTTACAAATAAAAACACTGCAGTGTTTGAGTTTCTTAATTGGGGGTGGGGGGGAGACAGAGCACTGACATTGGAATCAAACAGTTTAAGAAACAAAATGAAGCTAGGGTCTTTAGCTAAAATTCTAAGAAGTTTGAAAGCAGTTGCTACCTTAATTTAGGACTACAATGATTTCAGGTGTCTGTCTCAAACAGACTAAGATGACAGACATATTTCAGTTGTGGAAAGCCAACTTCTGTATTCGTCACAGTATCTGAACGGAAGAGACAGCAAGCAAAGTCTGCACATTAGAGTCAGGACAGCCCCAGGTCCTGGAGAAGCGAGTTGCAATCACTGTTCTATTTTCCCTGCTGTCCTACAGGACCCAGTGCTAACACTGCCAAGTGCCACAGTGTTCTCTCCCGCAGTCCTCAGAGCAAAGCAGCAGAAAGGAGCAGGCTTTGAATTAAAGGAGCAATATGCAACAAAATAACCCAACTAGCAAAGGGCCAGGCTGAACAAAAGACACCAGTGAAGAATTCAATTCCTCCCCATTCAAGTAAGAATAAGCATGACCACACACACAGCCTGAGCTGCCTGCCTCCACGGGCAGACAGGCAATCTTTAAATTTCAAGCTATGAGCCAACTAATTTTTAATCAATGGAACAAATAAATAAAAATAGAAATGTAAAAAGGATCTCACGGCAGCTTTCCAAAAATAAAAGTAAAAATTAAAAGCCACAACATTAACTAGCTTTCTACAATAATACTGCAAGATTACCTGGTGGATCCATTTCTATATAAAACATCAAGTCTGTGCCACAATTTATATCTGTCTTGGCATATTCTAAATCCAGGTCTTCCATATTCCATATAGTGTTGTACATTTGTGCGAGAGTTCCCTTGGCTGGGCTCCGTTATAAGAAAAGAGTCCGGCTTTCTTTGTAATGGTGTCTTGGAATTCATTTTAAAACCTATAAGTGGCTGCACTGTAACCTATTACATCACACACCCCAGCCAATCAAGTCAGAAAAATGTCACCAGACCACTCCTGCTTCATCAGTTCTTCCCAGCCCAGCCTTACCACAACCCCAACCCACATTTCCAAGCCGCACCATGAGACCCGCTCAGCGTTTCGGAAGGTGTTTAATTTGACTGTTCTCCGGCAGCAGTGAGTTTTCTAATTCCTTTTTTATTACTCCGTGCAGCATGGTACGCTCCGCGGTTGGCAGGATGACAGACACCGATATGCTGCAGCTCCCAGCTCCCTCCCCCCACCCCCAACCTCCCCAACGGTGCATCTGGGTTTATAGATAGCCCAGTCCTGCCTGGGTTTAAAAATCTTACAAAAGCGTCAGAATGGTATACTTCAGCCATGTTTTAAAGTCCTTCAATTGCTCCCACACATACTGAAAGCAGAAAGGATCAAGACCTCTGGATATTCCATTTCAGCCTTCCGTAATTCCCTGCAAACTCGGAACTTAAACGCTGACATGAAGTACCAGATTAGAAAGGACAATTACAGGAAAACGTGCAGACAGGACCTCCTTCCCCGAACACTCAGAAGTTGCAATTCAACTTGACAGAGTAAGGCAAATGCTGAACAGGCAGAGATGCTGCTACCAACAGGAATGATCCAGACATAGCTGGAAATATCCATGAGAATTTGAATGTTATGGTTCTAACGAAACTGGGCGAAGCCAGATGCTGCCTCTGACAACCGGAAGAAAAGCAGGCCTTGGATCAGAAGGCAGTTAGGTTTGCAAAGTGTCTCCCTGGTGGACGCAGCGCCACACTAACCCTGCTCCAAGGGGAGGGTGATGTCACCTCTTTTTTTTTTTTTTTTTTTTCCTTTCCCCCTTTATCTCCCATGCCTCGCTCTGGGGAGGCATTTCTTAGCAGTGCAGAAATCAGCTTCCCCTACCATCTGATGATCCGCTCGGGCTCTTCATAAACCATTCTGGGGGCGGCAGCGGCACCTGTGTTCCCACCGTGACCCGCTCTCTTTACAAAGGCTGTGACAAGGCTGGGGAGTGGGAAACGGGGGCTCATTTCGGGAAAACTTAAGTGGGCTCTGGCACGCGTGTCCCTGTCTGTCAGCTGGTGCGGCGAGTTAAAGCACCCAGGGGCCCCTGGAACTTGTCCCCTTAGGGAGCAGCCTCTGCTCTCCCAGCACTGCGCACTTCCCCCACCCTCGCCGGTCCCCCTGCCGCCTCTCCCTTCACTCACACCTTCCTGTTCCCCGCAGGCGTCAGGGGAGCCTACACGCAATTTCCAACCAGAGCGGCCAAAGATGGGGGGTGGGGCAGAGGAGAGATGCCCTCGCATGAATGCAGAAGGAAATTCTTCGTGAGAATGTTGACTGCCCCAAAGTAAGGGGACGAGTCCTCTGGGCTGCAGGCCCCCTGCGGCAAGCCGACCCAGGGAGCAGGTGATTCTCCGAGGCCGGCCCCCAGCCCCGACCCCGACCCTCCAAGGGCGCCATCCGCCTGGAGCACAGAGGGGCGCGCGCCCCTCACCCTCCGCCCGCGCGCCCCAGGCAGCGCTCCCCGCGCGCACACCCCACGCCGCCCAGCCACGAAAGGCGACTTACTTTGCAGGTTATGCATTTCAGCGGTTTCCCTTTAAATGCCCGTCTCCGACAAGAGGAGAAAAAAAAAATCCAAAAAGCTATTCCTCCAGCGACTGGGCCAAGTCTTCCCCCTCCCTCGCCCCCCCTCGGAGGCGGGTTCCCGGCGCTCGTGCCCGGCGGCGGCTGCGTGCATGCGCGCGCGCGAGGGGGGCGCGGGTGCAGCGGGGACCCTGGAGCAGACCCCCGGGTGCCGCTACCGGGCCGGGGAGGGCGGCAGCAGCAGCGCGGGCGCTCGCACGTCGCTCTCTGATAAAGATCGCGGCTTCATGATTAACTTGGGCAGGTTCAAATATTTGCTGAGCTAGGGATTTCAACGGGGGGGGGGGGGGGGGCGGGGAGCCCCAGGCAGAGTTGTCAGCGGCTGACAAGTGGCCCACGCGAGCCCCGCTCTCGCTCGGGGTCGCCGAGGGCGCGGCGAGGGGACCCGACACGGCGCGCGCGGCCAGACGCAGGAAGTAGCCGAGCGCCGCGGGCAGAAATAGCCTCGGAGCCGCGCCCGCCGCACCTCCTCCCGCGCCCGCAGCCTGCCCCGCAGGTGGCCGAGGCAGGGGGCCGCGGGGGCGGGCGGGGGCGGGACGGGATGGGACGAGAGCCCGAGCGAGCGGCGGACTGGACTGAGCTGAGCCGGGGGCGCGGCGCGCGGGCTCCGAGGGCCGGACCGGGCACCGCGCGCTCGCGGGCGTGCGTTCTGCACCTGAGCCCACCCCGCGCTCGCGGACGTGCGTGCGTTCTGCACCTGAGCCCCGTCCCGCTGCCAGTTAAACAGGCAGCCGCCGTCCACCTCAGAAAGACGTCGGCTGCACCTGCAGAGCCGGCTCTGACGCGGTGCTGAGAACCGAACCCGGTGTCTGTCGAGCGCACGGAACCGGCACGCTGAAAACCCTGAACGTCACTCGGGGGCCCCGTCCGTCGTGTCCTCCATGCTCCCGGAGGGGACGGGCAGGGGTGCGGATCGGGGTTGGGGGGAGGGGGAGCAGTGCCCCCCCCACTAGGCCCGCAACCCAGCGCTCCGAGGGGGCCCCCAAGTCTCCCTCCCTGCTTCCCTTAGCCAGAGGGGGCAAAACTGGCAGGCCAAACAAGTTCTATTAAGCGACATGCAAAAAAAAAAAAAAAAAGTCACACCTAAACGAAACTCTGGTTTTTTTTTTCTTTCTATTTTTAACTTAAAAAAAAAAGCACCCTTTTCGCTCCCTTTGAAGACAAGCGGGTCTGTCGGTGGCCGCATCCCCACGGAAGACGCGGGGCTGCGGTAACGGCCGCACAGGCCGCCTCGGCCCACTCGGTCTGCCAAGCCCGTGGGGAAGGCGGCGCCGAGCAGCGACACGGGGCCAGTCTGGTGGCCTGAGCGAGTATCTCTCCCTACTTGTCCATAAAGCTGGAGACAACACAGACGCCCGCTTTCCACAGCACCCCTGTGTTTCACATCAGAACCTTCCAAGATTAAAATCCGCCCCATCCCAGGTCCAACAGTGTCTTTTCAGCTCCAGAAGTGTCCACTGAAAAGCAGCGCGATCCCTCGTTACAGGGGAAAACACGCCTTAGACCAGATTTGGGAAGTCTGGACAGACACGTCTCAGATCAGGTTCTCTGAAGGACTGCGGTGGGAGTCTGCGCCCATTGGTCTTTGAAGAGGGACCTTTATTAGCTTAAAGAGGGGGCCCTCTCCTGGCCGAACAGAGGTAGTGACTCCGGCCTGCGAGAAGAGGAGCGAGGGCTCAGCT